GTCATAAAAGAGCCAAGGTGGCCACCACTGGTATAGGATCACGGCCTGGCTTGGGGCCTTCCTCCAGCGTCAGCCTTGCCGGGTCCCCCTGAGGAAACGCGGGGAGCCCCTGGGGTGCCTCTGTGCGCCATGTGGGGTGGGGGGAGCCCTGCAGGGGTGCTGGGCTGGCTGTAATGGCCGCTGTCCCCCTCCTTCCACCCGCAGTACCCGGTGGACGACATTGACAAGATGAAGGAGCGGGCGGCCATGAACAACTCCTTCATCTACATCAAGATCCCCCAGGTGCCCCTCTGCGTCAGCTACAAGGTTCGTGGCGGGGGGGCAGTCGGGGGTCTGCTTGTTCAAGGGCCCTGGTGTGGCGTTGGGCCATCGGGGTCCTCCTCCCTCACCCCTTCTTGTGGCAGTGAGTTCCACAGGACTGCTTTCATTGGAAAATGACTGTGGTTGGGGTGGGGGCTGCTAGGAAAGGGGGGGGCTTCTGGTTTCTGAGTCCCCCCCTCCCCGTTGCTGCAGGGAGAGAAGAACAGTGTGGACTGGGGGGAGCTTAACCTGGTGCTGCCCTGTCTGGAGTACCACAACAACACCTGGACGTGGCTGGACTTTGCGATGGCGGTGAAGCGGGACAGCCGCAAGGCCCTGGTGGCCCAGGTAAGGGGGGGCGGAGGGGGCTCGGAGCAGGGGACGCTGGAGGGCCCACCAAGCCCATCCTCCAGGGCGGGCACGGAGAAGCGCTCCCTGGCACTGCCACCCTCAGCAGCTGGCAGGCTTTGCAGGGATGGCGGTCTGAATGCCAGCTCTGGTAGCCGAAACCTCTCGCTGGGTTGGGGATTATGGGAGATGCATTACCTGGGGTGGGGAGAAAGTGGGTGAAAGGCTGACACCTGGGGCTCAACTCCATTCTTCCTTCCCTCCCTTCCTCCCTTCCTCTCGTATTTCTTTCCTTCCTCTCTCCCTCCTTCTCCCTCACCCCCATTCTGTCTCCCTCCCTCCCTTTCCTTCCTTCCTCCCCTTCCCTCCTTCCTCCCTCCCTCCCTCCCTCCCCTCCTTCCCTCCCTCCTTCCTTTCTTCCCTCCCTCCCTCCTTCCTCCCTCCCTCCCTCCCTCC